GCGATTGTGGTATTGGTTTGCGTGGGAATTCTTCGGTTCGCATGGAAAGGGCCATACAAGTTTTGTTTACAAAAGCCGGTTGAAAATGTTTCAGCTCAATATGACGGAAATAGGCACTTTTGCCGAAGTAGTTATCCACCCTACTTACGTGCAGCAAATCACTTCATAATGTCAATTCAAATGCAATCAGCGATAAGAAGGATTTCTTAACACAAACTTGCCTTTATTCATTTCTGTAATAAAAGCGTATTTTATCTTGCAATTAATCAATTCAGCACTTTCATGGCAGCGTTCTTCGTCTATTGCTATATCTTCTACGAGCCACGTTCCAACAAAGCAAAAAGCAATACGTCCAAACCACAGCTCAGTAAAGTGGAAGGATATTTATGATTGATTATTATTCGAATAAATGGATAGCTTTGTAGCTAGCTTTTTGAAACCTGATATCTTTACTTTTTCACACGGTTCTGTTGTTCTATCAAAAATTAGCACTGCATTAGTTGCCTGAGTTTGCTTAACCGACTCTAAAGAGCACAGCAAAAAAATAATTTTGATATCACATCAAAGTGGATGCACTACAATCATGTCGAAAATTTCATGTAATTTGTATGACCACATAAATAAACAAATGCAGTAAAAGCAGCGTAATGTCAGTTCATGCATTGTATTAATGATAATTTTGTCCTTTTTAGCAAGTAATATTACACCATATTTTCGACATGATTGTAGTGCATCCACATTGACGTGATATCAAAATTATTTTTTTGCTGTGAGGTTTTTAATTAAAATTCACTGTAATTGGAATATGTTTTTATGCCCGTTTTTCAATAATTAAGTTCAATAAAATTTCAAAAAACACACCATGAAAAACAGGCAAATGTGTTATTACTTAATTTGAAATGCTTAGTACACGATAAATAAGTAAAATTGTTCCAGGAAATTTAAAAATATTCTTCTTAAAACAAGGAGAAAATGTTCCCTAAGAATGAAATGTTCTGTAACAATAAAAACACTGATTTGCTACCCGGGAAATGAACTCAAATAGCACCTAAACATTGTAAAACATATCAGGGAAATCAAATGTCACCCATTCCATACATAGAAAGGGTAGTCGTATTTTTCAGATTGATTTGCTCAATCTCCAAAAAATTATGAATAACTAAAATACGATAATTTATTTATTTCCATTTCGTCAAGCCAGTGTAGACTACATACAATGATTATTACAATGTTTACTTACATACTATGCATCAACGGCGCCGGTGGTGTAGTGGTAAGCGTGATTACCTCTCACCCCAGCAGGCCTGGGTTCAATCCCAGTCGGCGCCGCCGGGATGTTCTGAGGCATAACATCTCTGATCACGCCTTCCTTCGGATGGGAAGTAAAGCCGTTGGTCCCCGGTTCATGAGTTGATGGGTCGATAGGTAGGGTCCAGGTGTGGGAGCTGCCTTCCTGGCACGTCGGTAGCATTGGTGCTCAGCACGGAAAACAAGATCGACGGAAAAAAACAAACCAAAGGAAAAAAAAAAAAAAAATACATACTATGCATTAATTCTATTCTGTTTTAGCTTAGTTTGTATTTGCTGCTTGGACATAGTGATGTCAATAGTTCCGCAATGCAAATTATATAGGCGCATCATTCGATTGATTGGGCTATTTTTTGCATAGTTTGTTCTGTACGATGTTTCTGAAAATAAATTCCGTGTTCTAAGATATCGACAAGGTGTGTAAAAATTTAATTGTGTGAATTTCTGCCGAATCTATCCGCATTGAAATAATGTCGTTGATGAAGAAAAGCATTGCAAATTGGCGGCGCTCCTTAAGTGTTTGTATATTGATGAGCATGCAGCGCGCTTCATAAGATGGTAATGGAAATGCAGTCCAATTCAATTTACGTAAAGCATATAAAAGGAATTGTTTTTGGACAGATATGGGTCTTCGAAATTATGACTGAACCTTTTGATGAAGCCTAGCATTCTGTTTGCTTTACTAATGATAGTATTATAATGTTCTATAAAAGTTAGTTTGGAGTCTAGGATTACACCTAGATCTCTTACAATTTTGCTTTTTTCTACTATTTGGTTGCCTAATGATATTTCAATATGCGGTGTTTCAATTTTTCTGCTAAATGCTATTGCAGTACATTTTTTTTACGTTCAGTTGAAGTAGACTTTTACTACACCAGGTGTGGAATATATTGATTTCATTCTGGAATTCTTCTGCATCGCTAGAATTACTTATTTCCATAAAGAGCTTCATGTCGTCTGCATATACAAGCAATTTTATTTTTTTAAGTATGTAGGAAATGTCGTTTATGTACAAAATAAAAATAAGTGGGCCTGTATGAGAACCCTGGGGTACCCCAGAGGTGACTGAAATTGGGTCTGAAAGTTTATTTTGAAAGCGAACTATTTGTTTACGATGTGTTAGGTATGATTGAAGCCAATTCAAAAGTCCAGGCTCCATTCCAATTTTCTGTCGATGCGGTCAAATGCTTTACTGAAGTCGGTGTATAGCGTTTCAACGTGCTTGCCACTGTCCAACGCTTTAATAATGAAAGATACATATTCTAGAAGATTAGAGGTAGTTGAGCGACCTTTAAAAAAGCCGTTTACGATTGATTCAAAAAGTTTTGGAATGCAAGAAATAATAGCAATTCCACGATAATTTCGAATGTCTGATTTTGCACCTGATTTGAAAATAGGTACCAAATAAGATGATTTCCAAATTTCAGGGAATTTTCCATTTTTCAGAGACATGTTGAAAAGACGCTCTAGAGGAAATGCGAGTTCTTCAGAAAGGTTTTTCAAAAATATGGGTGCGATGCCGTCAGGTCCAGACCCTTTCGACGTGTTTAAGTTTTTTAGTGCATTGAGGACTTCATGTCGAGAAAGTTGGTTGACAGAGATGTTTTTAGAAATTTCAGGAATAAATGCAAAGAAATCGCGGTCACGATCTTCTTCGGAAAATGTGGTGTATACTTCTTCGAAGAAATTTGCAAAGAGATTGCAAATTTCAGAAGAACTCACACCTACATTTACATCCAAATTCATTCGCGAAGGAAAATTGCTGCTTTTTAATTTCGTGTTTACATAATTAAAAAAGTTCTTAGGACATGATTTGACTTCATTTTCGAATTTGCGGTTATAGTCCTCATATGCAGAGTTGATGGCTGTATTTAATTGGTTGCATAAGTTGTGATAGTTTTGTAAATTGGTTTCAGTTTTTTTTTGTAATACAGTAAGCTTTATGGTGTAATACAGTAAGCTTTATGGTGAAACCGTTGAAGTCCTGGATGTCCAGTTCCAATCCCAAGTCACTTCCTCTTTCCTTCCTTTCCGTCTACTATATTTCACTCACTCTCAACTTTAAATTGTCAATTTCAGCTTTCTCCTGTATGATCATAGTCTTTAGTGATCATCCTAAGGGCACGCAATAATCTTTAACATCAACGCAGACAATAGCCCCATAACTGTTATGTTGAACAGAATATTAATTGTAACATGGTTACTTAAAGCTTTTTTTTAGGCAGGGTATCCTAAGCAAACAATAAAAACTACAAACTGCAACAATAATGACTAAATTTTTCGTTCAAAAATGGATTACATATACATTAACTATCACATCGAGAATGGAGAAGATTCATTCTTCGTCTTGGCTATAACACTTCTAATGTGGGTGTTTTGCCGGCAATTCCAACGAAATTTATAGTTTTATTAATTGCATGATATGTTGAGAGCGAAAAAGATTTTATATTGATTACACTATACACAGCAAAAAAATAATTTTGATATCACGTCAAAGTGGATGCACTACAATCATGTCGAAAATATGGTGTAATATTACTTGCTAACAAGGACAAAATTATCATTAATACAATGCATGAACTGACATTACGCTGCTTTTACTGCATTTGTTTATTTATGTGGTCATAAAAATTACATGAAATTTTCGACATGATTGTAGTGCATCCACTTTGATGTGATATCAAAATAATTTTTTTGCTGTGTATGGATCTAAACGTATTATTTTAATAGCCTTATTTTAGAGCATCTACTTGTGAAAATATGTATATTTTTTTAAAGAATCGCATCAAGCATCGATCAAGTTGCACAATATCGTAGGTGGTACGAATTCAAAACTATTAAGAGCAAGACGGACATCTATTACAGGACAGATAGTAAATAGGAAATAATTACTATCTCCCCGATAAAGACATATCCCTCTCCAACAGGATTGTCCTGGCCACATCCTTGCAACTGATAGGGAAAGGAAAGGTTTGTTAGTCCAACATTTACTTAAGAGAGATGCCTTCTGGGAAAATAATAATGATGTAACAATATTCGATCTACTTACACCATGTATTCAATACAACGACGTTGAATCACGCATTAACGCTTGTCACATACAATTGAATTCATCGCATTGGAATGTCATCCGTGTGGGAGTTAGCAAAAAATTGCCAAAGGAGATAAAGAAAGATCATTACAGCATTCCCTGCTGGCGGATATTACATTTTCCAGAGCTCATTTTCGTAATTACGCTCACTGATGAAGATACTCTCTACTGAACTGGAACGTATTCTGAGTGTGGGAAGTAAAACCAGACAGTAGGACAAAAAAATCCCACAATTTCCCGTATCATGCAGAAGAGTGAACCAGAGATAAATGATAAGCTCGTCGTGAGCCATGGAACCGAATTTAATCCTGTCTGATATTTACAGTCCTCGGTCAGTTTGATGGGTTTGGGCTCGCACATATTTTTTTCCTCGCATTCATGATTTATTCAAATTGGGAATCCTGTGCATGATTGTTGAACGGGTTTGTTTCTTTGAAGTGGAATTCCTCGAACGAATGTTGCCACTACCATCATCATCTTTTTCTGCAACATATTTAAATCGTTCATTTTACTCTCGTTATAGGAAACTCTCGGTATTCAATCATCTTTTTGTGACAGTAGGATAATTGCCGAACTCTTTCCATTTCTGTTTTCATTTCAGGATCCGGACCAAATATAGTTGTAAGGCCTGAGGAGGCACTTATTGTTATTTTTGTACTAATACTATGGATAGGCGCTATTGGTCTCTTTTTCCACCGGTGGGGAAAGATTCGAATGCTGGAGCCTTATCAGCCAAAGTTTATTCAACAACATCGAGGTTCTTGTCCGCTGGTGGAGCTGGATTTGGATTTGCCACCCATTCCACAGGTAAGTAGAGTGGATTGGTGGTAGTTATATCATGAATAGTGCATTTTATGGAATCGCTATCTCCGATAAACAAGTAAATCAGGGACTGGGACAACATGATTATTTTTAGATCAATTACGTCTTCACAAAAGCTGTTCGAAGTTCGAGCTCTTGGAATCTATGATTTTTTGTTAGTCTTAAGAAAAGTATAAGGTACACTGTGAGAGAAACTTAAAATGCGTTTATCAAGTAATATAAATCTAAACATTAGGAATAATTGAATGTAACCACCGTCCAAGATGTCCAGTGTCCCAATCGGTTTGCCCACTCGAAACGGTACTCTGACGCACTAAATGGTAAAATTCATCCTGTGAGATTAGCCTGTCATAAAATACGCCTTCCTGCGCGCCCACGACTGCCTACTCATTGCCAGACCTTTCTCTAGCTAATAACTTTGAAAATCAATTTTTAGTAAAATTGGTCAACTGATTTTATACAACTTTAATGCCAATTTTTGCACAGAAAATTTTTCATTAAAAAAGTTTATAAAATGTTGTTCAACAAAAATTTTAAAATTAGACCAAACGTTGTTGTTCTATAATTTGTCAATATTTAAGTGTCAGTATTTCAAATGATTGCATTTTTCATAAACTTAAAAAAGAACAAACAAAAATCAACGGCCCCGGTGGCGCAGTGGTAAGCATAACTGTCTCTCACTTCAAAGGGCCTGGGTTGGGATTTTCTGAGGCATAGTAAAGAGAAGTAAAGCCGTTCGTCCCCAGTCCATGAGTTGATGGGTCGATAGGTGGGGTCCAGGTGTGGGAGCTGCCTCCCTGGCGTCGGTAGCATTGGTACTCAGTACGGAAAATAAGATAGACGAAAAAAAAAATTCTAGGAACAACATAAAAAAAATTATTGAACAAGGAAATTTTCTATCATTTAAATTTGGACACTCTTTTTGATTTATTTCATAAAAACCATAAAAATAATTTAACGTGTATATTTATCCAAGAAAAACTATATATTTCCTCACTAATGAGTATCAGACGCCATTTCGAATAGAAGTAACTTTTTCGTCCTAAGATTTACAGTAATTTACCTTTTTTTTGCCATAAACGATGATCAATTTCTAAATATTTAATGATCAATTTCTAAATATTTTGTTGAAAATGACAGTTCCAATTACGTAAAAGCTTGAAACGGTATAATCATATTTCAAATGTTCATAGAAGAGTCATTTTACCGTTTTTTCATATAAAATTGATATATAGGTTGGTTTCAGCAACGAGTATGTATTTCTTTGAATTTTTATTAGCTACAACTTAGTTTACCCTTTTTGATTGATCGTCAAATCAATTAGTTTTTGAAGTCAATAACTTTATTAAACGATTAATTGACTGCTTTCAGTGCAACACTGCATCTAGCACTATGAAATAGTAGCCTGCATAATGTTTACCTATTCTTCGCGCCAAGTAACACAAATCAAACTGAACAATGCATTAGGAACAATGCATTCTCTTCGTCGACTTTCTCTTTGCATGTTAATACATTCCGAGCTATTTTCAGCACATTGTTGAAAGAAACTATTATGTAGCATCTAATACGACAAAAATGACAAGAAATGGTTCTGCATTAACGAATGAGAAAATCGATGAAGGGAATCGATCAATGTTACTTAGGACCTAATGCATTGTTCAGCTTGAAATGTGATCTTGAGCAAAGTTGTAGCTGAGAAAATTTCTGATAAGAACATTTAGTAAGCATAGTCGTAAATCATTATGGCCAAAGGCTAGCACTAGAAGAACAAAAAGTTCACTTTTCCCGTAGTAATTTAGCATCCAAATGAACCCAAATTCTGGGAAAGTGATCAGAACCTAATTTAGAACCGATTGAGCTTGGTGGTGCAAATGGGCAAAAAAGAGACCAAAATTACCCAAAATTTAATATATCAAAAGGACGCTAGTTTTCGGCCATGAACAAGACAGGTAAATCTATTGCGATGGCGGAGAGCATTCATGTTGGGCTATTTATTTTACAACGTTATTTTTCGTAAGACATTAATAGTTTATAAATAGTTTGAATATTATTTCTTTATAGAACATTTCGTGGAGCATTATGAGATTGTGGGGGTAGATTACATAGGGGGGTTATGAGGTTAAAGTTGTTCCACGGTTAAATTTTATAAATTCCTTAAAACATCGAACGGTGAGATTTTTGAGTAACTCAATAGATTCCCCGCCTAAAGTAACAAACAATTTCTTGGAACGTTAAGGTATATGGGAGTATAATTAGTTTGAATTTTGATCCCATCATTTTTTAAAGAGTTCATATTTTTGCAAATAAAATGTAATCCTTGTATTTCGTGACCTTGAACTCACATGAAAATTTCTGGACAACATTGCACATTTAGCCCATTTCATTATATGTATACTAAGAAATGTGGTAATAGGGAATGTGGGGTTTAGTATAATATATAGTCATAGGCTTTAAACATTTATTTTTAATTTTAAATGGAGTTATTTCCTGAGTGATCAAAAAGATTGCTGCATAGAAATACGTTAAAAAAATTCAATTAAGAGATGAAATGAACCTTATTGCTATTCTTTTCCAATGGGTACATAGGTATCTCCAAGCATTTTTTAAATTGAAATTAGTAAGCTTCAGTTCATATTCCAATTTTGCTAGACAACATTGCTCATTATAACGGCGCCGGTGGTGTAGTGGTAAGCGTGATTACCTCTCACCCCAGCAGGCCTGGGTTCAATTCCAGTCGGCGCCGCCGAGATGTTCTGAGGCATAACATCTCTGATCACGCCTTCCTTCGGATGGGAAGTAAAGCCGTTGGTCCCCGGTTCATGAGTTGATGGGTCGATAGGTAGGGTCCAGGTGTGGGAGCTGCCTTCCTGGCACGTCGGTAGCATTGGTGCTCAGCACGGAAAACAAGATCGACGGAAAAAAAAACAAATAAAAAAAAAAACATTGCTCATTGAAACCATTTATATATACTAGAGAATTTTGAGCTGAACATGTAGGGAAGTACGGGGTGTAATAAGTTATAAGGCCAAGGACTTTTAATTTGCTCAAAATTTTAAATGGTTAAATTTGTTGAGTAAACAGTTAGATTGCCCACAGGAAATAAAACACAATCTTAGGAAAGTTCAAGTACATATATAGGAGTTTTGTTTAGAACGTTTTCTTATAGGCAAACGATATTAATTAATTAATTTAGCTTTATTTAGGAGGCTTTCAGCCTTAGGCTGGTTCGCCTCCGCAGGCAAACGATATCCCATCTTCTAAGTATTATTGAATTATGTTTTTAGTGATCTTCAATTAACATTAAAATAGTTGGCCAACATTGCTACATCCAATTTTTTAATTCTTTATGATTTTGGGATAGATCATATAGCGAACTGTAAATGTTGAGTAACTTAAATTAATATTTCTGTCAATTTAGGAATTAAATTAATTATTTAATAACGAGGAGTTTTTTTTATCGATTTAATTTTATTGATTCTATTGACACTCATGTAGGTAAAACAAATTAAAAATGAAAATATTTTTTCCATTTGTTATTGAGACTTTCAGATGTTTCACCTTAAAAAATAAATAGTATTCAAATTAGAGCTCATTTTACCCCAATATACCATAATATTTAAAAAAGCGTTTGTTCTTTTCTGCGGGCAATCTATTGAGTCACTAAAAAATCTCACCTGTCTAAAATTAATTGTCGAACCACCATTACCTCATAATCCCCTCTGTATTCTACCCTGCAATCCGCTAATACTTCATGAACTGTTTTATAAAGGTATTATATTTAAAAACTATGCATAAAATTCAAAGTGTTTTTATGTTACTTCATACGCGAAGTTAGCGATTTTCAGAGTTGGTTGGAAATGCTAACATGAAGCTTTAGTGTGATAATTTATTAGCTAGAGAATGATCTTTAGAAGAGAGTAGGTGGATAGTTCCGTTAGAGTACGGCAGTATGAAAATTGAATAGAATTTGAAAATGAGCGAAGGGCCATTAATGCGACAGTTTTTTTTTTTTTTTTTTGAAGTTAGACGAACATCTTTTGCCTAACCCGTACGATGTACGCGGAGACTTGAAGTATGTCTCCAAGTCTACAGGCAAAAAATGTGCGTCCTTCTTTTGCTCATAAACTGACTGCGGCTGTGGAATAGTTCTAGCGACGTTTTCATCCCTACCTAAAGCCCCACGTTGCGAGAGCATTTCCAGTCGATGGTGTGTTATAATGCAATTCTTCTTTACCCAACTATTGTGTTGCTCTTCTCGTCATGACCAACGTGATCATCTCAGAGAGAAAGCAGTAGGGTGGTTGTTGCGTGCTGTACCATCATCAGCATTGTTGACGGCTACTCCCGCCTTGAGTTGTTACATTCAAAGTGTTTTTATGTTACTTCACACGCGAAGTTAGCGATTTTCAGAGTTGGTACATCGTACGGGTTAGGCAAAAGATGTTCGTCTAACTTCAAAAAAAAAAAAAAAAAAAACTGTGCATTAATGGCCCTTCGTTCATTTTCAACTTCTATTCAATTTTAATACTGTCGTACTCTAACGGAACTATCCACCTACTCTCTTCTAAAGATCATTCTCTAGCTAATAAATTATCACACTAAAGCTTCAAGTTAGCATTTCCAACCAACTCTATGCATAAAATATTTATATTTTACTAAAAATAACGTTATGAAAATCAAAACTCACCAAAAGCTAGATAATGGGGTAAATAGTCCAAAACACATGCTTCTAACGTTCTCCGGCGTATGAAGCCACGCGAAAACTATTCTCCAGTCTTCTCTCTTCGAAAAAATCATTGCTCATGACCGGGAACCAGCGTCCTTTTGAGAAATTTAATTTTGGGTAATGTTCTTCTTCTTATTATTCGCATTTCAAGTTTATTGCTTATCACATATTGCGTGCTCTCAATCAGTTGTATATTATCAAAATAAATTGAACATTTTTGATGAAAATGAGGAAAGCAGTTTTCCGCTATCAAATGGACCTCCTTTGAATGGGTAATATCAGTTTGCTTAGTCATTTGAGGAAGGCATGAATCATTCTCATTTGAGAAACACTTGATATCATTTAATTGAGTGTAACCTACACTGAAACAAATCGACATGTACCGTTTATTGGATCCATCTTATAACATAGCAATGTCAGCAGATTTATTCATTCTATGTGATGATTGATAGATTCCATTGGATTATCACTTAAAAACTAGGACTGCGATATGGAATGATTTCTATCGTAATTTCACATACTTAGTACTTGATAATACTTTGCTTCGAACGTGGTTAGCGAAGGTAAGAAGTATATGAATATTGTCTGATATATTTCATGGTGAAAAACTGTTGACATCTAGAAACTAATGAAAAATCATATAAGTTTGCACTATGAGAAAATTCAGTAAAATATAACTGTTTTCATGATGAATATTGCTCACTAAAATATATATCTTATAAGATAATCATGTATATTTTATTGGAGTTGCTTTTACTGATTTTTGACGTTTGTTGATATGTCGCGTGTAAATAGACATGTAGAAACTATTGGACTGTCATTTAACTTTGCAGTATAGGAAAACATGTATATCTCATTGTAATAGCTTGCTTTGATTTTTGACGTTTAAAGATTGTAAACAGATCTATCCCAATCATTAAATAGTCATATAGAAATGCCTTTTAAGAAATCCAACAGCAAGCATTTGTTTTTGCATGTTTTTCTGGGATGATATAAATAAAATACATCTTAAATGATTGTTCTTTATAAATTATTGAAACAATTTTCAAAGATGTTAACGTACACTCATTAAAATGATTAGTTGAACTAAATACTACTAACAACAATGATACTGTATTGAATAATCTTTGTTTGTTATTGTTTCATATGATAATTGGTTCCAGAAAAGAATGTATTGAGATTGAAAAAAAAAATGATTCTACTGTAATATTTACTTTGCTATGATTCTAATTGTAAGCCTTCTACACGGCTAATTCAGATTCCAGCCCTAAGTAGTATTCGAACTTCATGAGCCAGTTCTATCAAATCATATAATTTAGTCGTTGATTTATTGCACACAGGTGCATTAAGAAAGATTTGAACAAACCACACCACCGAAACGGAACATAAATTTGTCAGTGCTATTTGTTTGTCTTCACTCTAGCAAAACGAGCATAAAGTTGCACTACATTCCATGTCGGGAGAGCTGTTCTTACTTCATGCTATTTGAACGAGCTCAATCTTGAAGTCAGCCGTGGCCCAGTGGAATCGAGCACAGACACCGAAAGCATCACACCTCAACAGATCTTGATCGAATCCCAAATCAGCTACAATAAAAAAAAGGCACAACTGTGAAAGCTCCCACTGCCTGATGTTTATTTTTCGAATTTATTTTTAGAAATCGATTAAATATATGTGTCAAAAGAAAAAGTAAATTTCATGTTATTTTCACATAAACTTTACTTCGATTGATTTATGATAATATATTGTGGTGAAAAGTATAGCTTATGCTTATGGGTTTCAAATCCATTTCAGTTAATTATTATAATTTGATCGATTTTCATTTATCATATGACGATCATATAAAAGTTACCAAATTATCAGCATTGTAAATGTATCAGATATTCATATAGAATTTACCTGACACATTTTCAATCATATCATTTTCAATGGATTATCTTATAGCGCAAATTTATTAGACTTCCACATAACAGGAATATGTCAAATTCGTTCAGTGTACACACAAACGGAGCTCTGGCCGACATTCCGGCGAAAAAACTAAGCCAACCAAACACCCATCTGACTTCTAACAAACCCCAACCTGATGTTGACCCGACATTGAACCAGACCTAAAATGGATCCAACATCAACTCGAAATTGGGTTGACATCTACCTTAAATTATCCTTACATTGATCCGACATTGGTTCGACATTTCTGTTCGGGAGTATTTTGATGTGTTTCTTCCATATTCCACTGTCGTATATCAATGAGGTTCGATGAGGTTCGATTGAGCCCTCTCTTCAAATGATGGGCATGAGAAGTTTTCCAACCCTAACAAATCCTAGACCGACCGGGAATCGAACCCAGCTATCTCCAGCATAGGTCGTGCTTTGTACCTGCGACTTTACCGACTGAGCTAACGGAAGCAGCAATGTTGGACCCTTTTTTGCCTATAGTGCACCCAAACCAAATGAAACCAAAGTTTTATGCAATTGGTTTTAGAAAAGATCCAACAATTAAATTGTTTCTAAATTATCCTTCTAAAATTATAACAGAAATTAAAAATTTAAAAACTGTAGCCTTGGAGATTTAGAGTTGGGAGAATTGAGCAAGTTTTTCGTGAAATTTTCTCACATTTTCGAACATTACTGCAGGAAAATAATACGCATCGCATTGAAAATTAGATGGTAAACAGTAAACGTATGACAGCTTGAAATTAAATTTCATGATTTATTGTGAGGTGGCAGGTGATCACATTTCTTTTTTTATTTAAATAAGATCTTACGACATAAAAATTGACATAACAAGTTTACTTTATTTTAATGCAATCATTAGTCAACTTTTCCAAAGAAAACTAAATCTAATCTAATTGGTCAAATCTGCAGGTTTGATCACTGGATCGAATTTACCGAATTAATTCAAAAACGGTGACCAATGGTGTGGATTAATATAGGGGAAATGGCTCTAATGTTGGCCTATGGATCTAAGATTGGGTCCATCGCTAAAAATCTGCTATTTATCAATTTTATCTAGATAAACGCGTCATTGGGACGGTACTAATGTATATTTTTGGTCGCTATTGAAAATTTAGTCGATTGCTGAATTTATGTATGGGCCCAAATTAGGGACATTTAGGCCGACATTACATCCATTTCCCCTACTATGCATTAAAATTCCACCAACTTCAATTTATATAAAATCTATACATTCTGCAAAAAGCAGACGGGAACATTCCCACGAACCAACATGAATTACTTCACTTCACTTCACCAGACATTTCATTTTTAACTAAATATTTAGTTAAATTAGTTGAACCACGACACAACAAGATCATCATAAAATTTACGTGGCATTTAAATCATATTTTAGCCTTCATTATCAACATTTTAAAGAGTTCGGATTTAAGTACTAAGTTTCCGGATTTCGGTGCATTACGGCACTCGTTCGTTAAATACAAAACTATCTAAATTACGCCTAAAATTATCGTCGGTCATAATCAAAAGTGTGATTAAGGTTAGGTGCTCAGAGAGTTCATCAGAGGGTAACGTTCTTCAGCAGAATGGTTCGAACTGGGTAAGCCTGCTTGCCGGATAAAAAATAGTTAGAATCAAATCGACTTAGATCTTTATGTTATTTGTAACAAGTGCCAAAATTGCCACAGTCGTTTGGCATTTTCCGTTACTGTGTTACGGAAATGTTTCTATACTGGGCGACTCATGATAGTAGGTATTGTTTATTGCATCTGACACTTGACGACCCCTGAACTACCCCTGTGAGATTTAACGAATGTACGCACGATTCAATTTATGTTTGCATGGTCGTATTTTTGTTTCAACTTATTTCTTATGATACCAAAATTGAGTGCAACTTGGGTATCGTCAAAAAGTGGTACCGACTAAAAATTTAAAAGCTGGGCAAAATATGTATCAGCTGTCTAAATGTGGAGTATAGTTTTTACAACAAGTATGAATTAATTTAATTAAATGGATTATCCGCAGTTTAATTAAAATAGGATTGTTGGAATATTTTACCAGAAGCAAGACAATTTAATTTCTATTCTAAGGCTTTGGGTAAGGGAGAGTATAAACCCTAAAAACCCCCTTCGCTGACCTTATAGCGAATTTGTTTATTATTCAGTTCCAACCTGGATCGGGTATCAAGATCGGCTCTACTTGTTTTCTGACAAACGTCAGTTTAATCGTTCGTTTTTCAAACCCACCTCAGGTTGAGGTTCGCACTGACAAAAAGTTCGGTTTCACACTGTATAATAAACAAATTCGCTATTAGTCGTCTTCGATTGATTGAATCACACATTATTTAGGTAGTCTAAAGTCCGTGGGATCTCCCTTAGCTCAGTCGGTAAAGGCGCAGCTACAAAGCAAAACCATGCTGGAGGTGGCTGGGTTCGATTCCCGGTCCGGTCTAGAAATTTTTCGGGTAGGAAAATTTCTCGACTTCCCTGGGCATAGAGTATGATTGTACTTGCCACACAATTATACTAATGCAAAAATGATACAGGCATCGAAAGCTCTCAATTAATAACTGTGGAAGTGCATCAAGAACACTAAATTGAGAGCACGCAATACGCTAATATGCCATACGCAATAAGCTTGAAATGCGAGGAATAAGAAGAAGAAAGTCCGAAAAAAAACACAGTTGATGATCAATATGTGCACTGACAATCCAGTATCTCGTAAATCAATTAAGTCGCAGTCGCTTCCCAATTTCAATAGTTTCTATTTTCATTCTCAGAGATCATCGCTGTCGATGGGTCTACAGTCGACGATGATGTCTGCTTGCCCTGGAGGTACACAATAAAAAACATATTTAAAATATAAAATTATTTGTACTGAAGCCACACTTTCAACAGGATATCCCGGTTATATTCGTCCACGGCAGAATTCCGTTTTCGTGGGGCAACACGTGTTTTCACCACCGCAGCCACCCAGAAAAACACGCTCGGCTGTCGACATCCACTCGATGATACTCAGCGAAGGCGACTCAGAAGCAGTCTAACCAATCGCCTTTAAAACCTACAAACCAACTGCAGATGGAACCGACGAAGAGATGCATCCTACAAAACATTTCGATATTTTTGTATCATGACATACATATTATATATTTACATTTAACTTTTCTTTTTATACATAACGCGTGGAGAGTAACAAATGAAACAGAAATAGTACCATGTAAACAAAGTTCACCCTCGTTGAATATGACTAAAAATTAGATCATTTTCTCTCATATTGAAAGTGTTGTTTATACTCGTACCGTTTTACGACCAAACCTAGACGTTATTTCTAGAAACTAGCAATGGTTTTTTTAGCATGCATTGGTAGAACATTAAACGGGTTATACATGTGTGTAATACGCAGCCAGAATACCATTTATGATATATCAAGAAGAGAAAATTCTAAAAATAGCTTATTATGTATTAATTGAGGAATGATAAAGATAATGCAATAGTATACATATGTACGATTTTATACGTCTTCAAAACATGCATTTATCTCTCAAGACGTTTTGGACGTCGTCCAGACATCCATCACTATAAGCTGCGAGTTAAAAAGAATGAACAAAACAAAAATAAACCATTTACGTTTTAATACAATTTGCACTTGAGAGTAAATTAACCAGAAGAGCCAAAAACGCAAAACTTTTTGTCAATTTCTACAATTATGTCTGATTCGATACTCAAGCTAGCATACATACTATCCAAAGTTTTTAATGATATTCATTAGGCACTTAAGAAGCAGACATCAGGTCTGTGATATATATTTTGTTGATAATTAAAGGTAATATCTAAGATACCAAGCCACAAACATAAACGTAGACATTTTATTTTTACATCATGTTGATAGATGTCTAAATAAACAAAGAAAAATAAAATAAAACTGATCCCTGTCCCTCCTTTTACCTAAAAAACAGACAAAATTGTGTAGCTAAAGAGTGATTGTTGACAAAGACTAGACCAAATAAAGATCTTTAAAATATTATTATTCATAAAAAGAAACTATTTCAATTTTCAATTCCAATCCGAAAAACAACCTTCCTAACAGCTATTAAACTATATAAGTCAGGGTAAGTATTGAACTACTGTTAATCCCCTCTATTATAATTTGTGTCTTTTTCTAATTAGTGCTGTCGCTTTACTTGGGGCCTCCGACAGCACAGATAGAACATGTACGGTGTTATCAAGCCGGGGGCAGCGGGTTCCGTTCCCAGTCCGAACGAGGAAATCTTTCGGGTTGGAAATTTTCTCGACATTCCTGGCATAGAGTATCATTGTGTAACGATAACTTTACAACCCAATATAATTTAATAAACATTTCGCCTTTAATTATTCTTTTAGGGCTGCACACGGCTTAAGCTACTTGATACCCTACCAACACTGTTCCATCCCAAACTGCTCGAATTGATCTTCCACACTGGATTTTTATTTAATTTTCCCACGACGCAATAAAATCATAAAATCACTCAAACGCTATTACGTTTTGTCTTTGACGACGCAATTTATTTTGATTGGTTAATCCAATGTCATGGGACATGAAAGGATTAGCCCAGCACACTTTCAAATCACTTTTGTTGGAGTACAATCTAAGCAGGTTCGAATTTTATCAAGCGGAATAATTTTTGAAATCGTGAAGAAAGTTTGAATTGGTTTAGTGGTAAATTTTTGGCCTAGAACAAAGTGAGTTATTGAAAAAGCATTTGAACTAAAAATGTATTAAATTATGTATACCTCTTCTTCTTCGCATTTCAAGCTTATTGTATATCGCATATTAGCTTATTGCGTGCTCTCAACTTAGTGTTCTAGATGCACTTCCACAGTTATTAATTGAGAGCTTTCGATGCCTGTACCATTTTTGCATTGGTATAATTGTGTGGCAAGTCCAATCATACTTCTATGCCCAGGGAAGTCGAGAAATTTTCCAATCCGAAAAATTCCTAGACCGAACCGGGAATTGAACCCAGCCACCTCCAGTGTGGTCTTGCTTTGTAGCTGCGCCTTTACCGACTGAGCTAAGGGAGGACCCTTTAGTGAATTGCGCAAGCTAAACTAAAAAAAAATAGTGACCATTGGTAGAATTTAGAACCAGGTAATAAAAATAAGTCGATAAATTTTCTATTGTGCAATTTGTAAGACCCTTGAACACGTTAATAGGTCACGCTTTAACGTGGGAGTTTAGTTTGAATCAAGAAACCTTTATTTTGAGCGCGATTAAGGCTATTAGCGTCGGAGACGAGCCAGCCAACGGCTGAAAGTCTCCTTAATAAAGATATAAAAAAAAAAAAAGGTTATTAGCGGTCGTCGACGTCAAAGCAGGATGTAGGCTATACCCGTAAAACTACACGTGGTCCTCGAGACCGAACAAAACGTTACCCTGCATTTCTCTAATACGGAGACGCATTTACTCCGTCCGCCTCGTAACACCACCCATTGCATCGTTCGGAAAATTGCCAGATTCTACCCTCTCGTCGGCAAGCTCGAGAGGCCGTTACGCGCGCGAGGGTTCTCGCTTACGGACAACCATCCGTAGCAGAAGTAGAGTTCGTCTCGTGGTACAGGAGCCACTCCGACAGCACCGGCTAAAGGGTAAAGGGTTATGAAAAAAGGTCAGAAAAAATTACCCCAAATTTTAGTTCTTTTTACTTTGTTTTGGAAAATTTTAAGTTTTGCATCCCACTCTCACTTTTGGTTGTTGTCAAAAACGGAACGAGAGATTCGATTTTGTCATGACTATCGTTCAATAAGCTACTAGTGAGTATATGAGATATTCTCAAATTTGAGTCAATTGTACTTAATTTTATGTAGAAAATACTCACGAGTAAGTAATTATTTTTGCCTTAGTCAAATGTAAACTACTATGAGAGGTTTACTGAAAATTAGTTTATTGAACGGAACATGGGAGGTGAGTGAAAAGAACTTAATGTTGGGTAATTTTTCGATTCCGTGTAGAATATCTCTGAGCTCATTGATTAGATTAGACTGCCCTAATAAACAAATGCCATAAACGAACTTTATCCCGGATGGGTAAACTATCCCACTAATGGTTTGGATGATTCCCTGAACACGTCGTTAAGCTCTCTTTTATGGTTATTTTTATTAGGGTGGTCGCGTGTTTTTCAATAAATGTTCTGAATGAACACTTTCGTTGTGCGCTTCCATGAGAGTAGTTTGCGTTCGTTTTTAATTAAAAATAAAGCTTCTCGTAAGTGATTTTGAGTGATTTTGAGTTCGATTATTGGTTTTATGACGTTTCGAGCCCCGTAACGCGTACCTTTTCGTGGTACGTTACGGGATGTAAGATCTACCACCGATGCCTAGTCCTGACTTCTTCAAACTAGGAGAACAGGATTTTTTAGTAATCCAAGGAACACATCTTAGTCCTTGTTACTCTTTATGCCTTGTTGATAGTGACAAGACTCGTCTTTGTCTACCGAGGATGATCTTAAAACAAGTTAAAAAAAATGAGTTAGTTGTCTTCATCTATGTGATTCCTAATCTTCTATTCGTTGTTCCCTAGTTTGAAGCGGTTAAGACTAGGGTTGTGATGCATGGTCATTATCGGTGTCATACCTTAATTTTGTTGCTAAGGAATCCAATTTTGACTGACAAAAGGGCGCGCCTTTGGAGGGTGTTTCAACACTCCGAAGAGTATAAATAGCGGGACCTTTCAATTCAAGACCAACAATTGAAATGGCCTTAACTCCATTTTGTAAACAAACCTTGTAAGGCCATTTCTCGCGAACCGAAGTCCGCAAAGGCAAACCCACATAATGGACAGGTAGGGGAAATTCTGCTCTACCCGATTGTGGTTTAGGTTTGCGAATGAAGGTTTCGGTTCGCGAGAAAATGGCCTTACAAGGTTTGTTTACAAAATTGAGCTATGGCCATTTCAATTGTTGGTCTTGAATTAGAGTCGGATCCTTGCGATAAATGCGAGAATGGCAACTGTAAAAAAATCGAATACTTCATCATTTCTCAATAGTGATGGAGTAATACGACATGCACTAAACTAAGGACACGGGATATACTACAATAGATTAATTTACTGGTCGCAGTAGTGTTAGGTCCCGAAAAGAGGAAAAAAAATGACGTATCGAATGACTTGCCCGCAAATTGTGAGTTTCAGGCCAGGCATCCCTGAAATAATTACCGCTTTCGACCTCGGGTAAGGAGTGGCGCATAAGTCGTTTGCTGGTTTGATAAGAAACTGACTATATCCGATATTTCGGGGACTGAGCAATGTAACGCTTGGTCGTTCGTTGAGAAAAGTTACGCGTTACACTTGTGCTTGCCACACAATATTCCATTTCATGCATTTGATTAGCTCTCAATTAATAACAGTGAAAGTGCATGGAGAACAAAATTTATAGCTCGCAAAGAAGCGTTAAAAACGTAGAAGAAGGAAGAAGAAGAAGAAGAAGAAGAAGAAGAAGAAGAAGAAGAAGAAGACTTAGAATAAGAAGAAGGTTTAAAATATCGAGTTTCATAAGATTTGCATAATGACGAATGAATTTTATAAGTTGCCTTATGACTGAATATCGTACCATGGTCGCTTCTTATATGCTTTCAGGCTCTCCTCTTCCTAAGCGTTGACAGACGAGTGAGCTAGATACGAAATACGAACTCATCGATCTAAACGTTCATGGTGCGAATCCGGGCTATGCAATTTCATTATTATTTTTATCAACATTATGATTCATAAGCTAAACTGAAGGAATTCACTTCGATTTCTTGTGGCTAAAATTCCCCAATTAACAAATCGGAAAATAACAGGTCTGATCAATTCGGCATTCAGTGTGGAGCTGCTTATAATTTTAAATTAAACTATTGTATGTCTGGTTTGAGATAACCATATTTCATATGATACATTAGGCGTAAATAACATAAGAACTTTTCGATTCATTCTAAGACTGAAGATTCAATCCCTAATCTCAAAATAAGTTGCAGCCTGATATATGATCACTTCGTACCCCAACATCCACAAAATCAGTTCGCTTTCAGCTCTTTACGCAGTAGCAGTTATGTATTATATCTTGCAAGATAATTGCGCATAACCGCCGCAGCACGATGAGGATAAAATATAGGCGCGCATAGCATTTCATACGGCGGTGAATCCACATTGATCTGAGGGGTTCTGTGTGCATTTTTGTTATCATCGCATAATGTGATTTATTTTTTATAAGAAGCACAATTTATCTCTCGGTGTCGATCGTGTGGTCCAATTAAGCCATTTTGTACCATCTTCAAAATCTATCGACCGTTTCACCAACTCAGAAAATAAAAGCCAAATCTGACTCTTTTGGTTTATGTTTCATCAAAGTTAGTTTCCATTTTTGAAATATGACGTCGGAAACAAACCCGAAGTATACTTTGAGCCAGTTCAAAAAAGGCCTGCAGTTTTTGTCAGTACCCTCAGCATCAGATGTTGTATTCTTGAATATAGTAAGCAAACGACAATCGGCCTTTACCTTAAAAATTGATAATTTCGTCAATTCATCATCAATTCCCGCTAAGGCCATGCAATCGATGAGTAGGTCTTTCCACATCTCGAATGTATGGTGGTGGATTTCATCCTCTTCTGCCTGAGGTTTACGTTCTGAAACTGCAGACTCGGCCATGCTTTCCATCAGCTTGGCTAGTCGAGTGCTTGAAGTACATGTCGGGTTCAACATCAACACTGCCTTCTTCGATTACCAGATTAACCTATGTCTGCCTTTTCCGTTTGTGTTCTATCAATGCTTTGTTTTTTTTTTTTATTTTTCGATCCTTCTTCATCGCAGACCCGCTCAGATTTGCATTCCTGAAATATATGCAAACTACACTCAACTTGATTTGCTTTAAATTGAGAACGTGGCATCAATTCATCCAGGTATTCTACCTTGATGTAATTTTCTTAAAACTCAGTAATATACTCAGAGCTTGACCTTCCGCAAGCTGCCATTTATCTCATAAATAGCCT